ACCAGCAATGAACCTCACCGCACGTCACTGACACACACACACACACCTAAACACACACACACACACACGCTGGTTTCTACCTGTTGACGGATGAAGAAGCAGCTGCTGAGGTTTTCTTCTCTCGTTTTTTCACCTGGAGACAGGAAAGGATTTGAATCAGTCCAGGGTTCTGGAAGGTCCTGGAAGGTTCTGCAAAACTGCCTCATTGGAAAAACATTTGTTCCAGAAACAAAAACATGAATTTCATCCAGATGTTTTCTGATTAGCACCTGGAGGAAGAACAAGACTTTCATCTGAAATGCCTGAAAACACGAAGCAGGGTCGGTTCAGGTTTCAGTCGCTGAGCGGCACAGAGTCTCCTTTGCAGACCAGTGAAAGCACAGCTGCTGCAACATGGCCTAGTCAAAGTCAGGCTTTAAAGCAGACTGAAGTGCTGTGGTGGGACCTCTGAGTAGATGAAGTCAGACTGACCACCTTCTCCATCTGGGACAGAGGTTCATACTGAAGAAGCAGCAGATCACAGAGCTGCTGCAGAAGGAGCAGGCAGAGGGGTCAAGAGGTCAGGAGGCAGTGGCCCTCAGAAAGGTCAGCCTCCAGCTGGTGGTAGCCCTTGCTAACATGGTAGCCCTCGCTAAGGTGGTAGCCCTTGCTAACATGGTAGCCCTCGCTAAGGTGGTACCCCTCGCTAAGATGGTAGCCCTCGCTAAGCCTCCAGCTAATGGTAGCCCTCATTAATGAACCGACGCTCCACAAAGACATTAGCTTGTATCTGACTTTGAATAAAACTGTTATTACCTTTCGCCTATCAGACTGAACGGTGCGAAGGCCACCACACCGGCTCTTTCAGAGTTTTCTGTCTGAACGGAGAAGGAGAAAATATTCAACCCTGATCAGCTGAAGAGTTGAGCGAAGAGGAGACCTGAGCCTGGCTGAGCGAGCGCAGCAACCTGCCTCAGAGTCAGGAAGCTCCCAGTGGAGAGCAGATCCCACCGATCAGCCGCCGTCCTCCTGGTCTCGCTTCTTTCTGTGATCTCAGCTGCTTATTGTCAAGCTGCAGCTCTAATTTTCATACAGGAAGTCAGTACACCACTTCCTCTTTCTGCAGTGCTTTTAGAGGACTTCCTCCTGCGTTGCACACTAGAATCTATTTGTGGAGCGGTAGAGCCCAGAGGCGGCGGCGTTGGCGTTACCTCCGGCAGGTTGCTGTAGAGCTGGTCATCAGGCGTCTGCAGGAAGCGCTCCAACATGCTGGCGGCCGCGGTGAAGATGAACCCATACTGGTCCTGGAAACACAACCGTAGTCAGAAACACTCTCCAGGTCGCCCCTGCTCCACCCGGCACAACCTCCGCTGGTGGAGGTGGTGTCATGGTCTGGGCTGGGCCGTCTGCTGCCTTCAGGCCTGGTCCAATTCCCAGACCCGACTGTCCCAGGAGAGACAGCTGGAGACAACCGAGACCTGAATGGGACAAAGACGTCCCTGTGCTGTTTGGGACACCTGAAGACGGGTCCGCATCATGGAACTGGAAGTTCTCGTCAGGGAGATGCTGCTGCTGACCAGAACCGTCTTCTGGCTGGACGTGGAGTCCTACCTTGGTCTGGACCGCCGAGGGTCTCTGTCTCCGCAGCTCCAGGACGAGGTCCAGGACGCTGAAGTCCTCGGTGATCTTCTGCAGGAGGGAAGAGAACGTCACAGATGAAGCCTTGCAAAACCAGAACCAGAACCATGTGATGAAGCTCACAGGTCTCCTCCAGGTAAACTATGGGATGGATTCCTGATGGTCCGTGACAAAACTTCCAGGTTTTTCCCTCTGACCTCTGCCTGACCTCCTGGAAGTGATGTCACTGACCAGCTTGGCTCCTGCTGGAGAGACCTGCTCTGTTGTCATGGGTTACCTTGGTAACCACAAGGTCGTGGATGTAGTCCAGAGCGCAGATGACTCCTGTCCTCCCACAGCCTGCACTGAAACACACACAGAGACACACAGACGGAGACAGACACACACACACAGACAGAGACACACACACAGAGAGACACACACAGACAGAGACAGACACACACACACACAGAGACACACAGACAGAGACACACTCACAGAGACACACACACAGACAGAGACAGACACTTAGCAGATGCAGTGATCATGTCCACTGTGCCATCGATAGCAGGTGTTACCTGCTGCATATTCACAGCCTCCTGCTCTGTCTGTGTGTGTGTGTGTGTGTGTGTGTGTGTGTGTCCTGTTGAATGTTCATGACCAGCTGACCTGTGATCAGCCTGTTGGCACAAACAAGCTGCAGAGATGATGTGAAGTTTAACACTGATCAGAGGACGACACAACGTCTCACTATGTCTCTGTCTGTCCCTCTGTGTACCTGCAGTGGACCAGGATAGGTGAGCTCTCGGCTCCTTGGCTGCTCCTGGCTCGGTCCAGCAGGTCCAGAATCCCGGTTGTCTCATAGGGGACGTCGTGGTCCGGCCAGGACAGGTACTGGAACTGGACCAGTGAGTGGACGTCCTGTGGGAGAGGAAGAGGAGTGAGGAAGGTGTCCTGAGCCGGGAGGCAGCAAGGTGAGCGCCTACCTGCTGGTAGCAGACCACCAGGGTTCGCACCACAACGTCCTGGTTGGGCCGCGACTCCACCTGCTGGACGTTCAGAGGAACAACACGTCACATTCGGCTCTCAGGACACGGAGGACGGAGAGGACCGGGCCGTTACCGTGGTGACGGTGAAAGGTCCAAACGCCGCAGACTGATGAGGAGCTGCCCAGTAGCACTCACATTTTCTCTGCAGAACCAGAACCAAACCTCTCTGTCTCATGTTTTATACACTTCAGCCATAAATATCTCAACAAGAAAAAAAATCTGAACATTTTAAATAATCTGAATAAAAATAAGAAAATGAAACGATACCTTTCCCATCTCGATCTCTCTGCAGGCCATGACTATCACCTGAAACACAGAACCAGTAGTTAGTCTGACCCCTGAGGACAAATGTGGACAGGTGCAGCCTGCTGTCCTAGTGACGGCGGTTAACCTTCCTGGTGACTAAACGAGTCTGTCAGATGTGAAAGTTGAAGTTCACCTGTTGGTCTATCAGCCAATCAGTGGCCTTCCCTCCCTGCTGCAATGGCCGCCGCCAGGAGATGAGTAAAGTGCAGCTCTGAGCTTAAATTAGGAAATACATTCTGATAAATCTTATAGAAGAAGTTGTTTTATTGTTTTATGCTCCTTGAGATCAGGAGGAAGGCGATGATGAAGCTTTTTGTCTCAGTCTAGTTTCTGGTTCGTTTTTCAGGTTTGATCTGAAATAGGTTCAACTTGAAACTGGCAAACCAGCCTGCAGTGCCCTTTGACCCCTGGAGCACCTGGTTCCAGAATGTGTGTGCAGGTGTTATTTGGGACGGGGTCAGAGGCCAAACTGCTGCTCTGACAGGAACCAGAACGAGTTCAGCTGGCGAATCATTAACTTCACTGCAACAGTTTCCTCTAACTGCAGGAGGAGCGCAATGTTGGAGCTGGGGACCAGACTACTTCCTGGGGATCAGCTCTTCCTGCTGGTACGCTGACCTTGATTTTGTGCTGCCAGATCATCCTCCAGAAGTCGGTCAGAGTGGAACTGAGGGGCGCCTGGGAGGCGATGTATCTGCAGTCACCTGACGCCCCCTGAAGGACAAACAGTGCTGTTACAACCAGAGCTTTCTCACAGCAGCAGGAGACACCTGAGTGGTGAGCTGCATCACCTGGACGAAGCTGGCGTTGATGTAGTCGGAGTCGGAGCCTGAAGTCTGCAGAGACAGAACCACCCGGGTCTGATCATCTGGATGGAGAGACGGGGTCAAAGGGCAGAGAGGCGTTAGAGCCGAGTGGGAAAATACATCACACTTCTACTGGGCAAAGAAAAGAGACGATGAGGATGGAGGCAGGGAGGGAAGGAGGCAGAGAGGGATGGAGGGAAGGAGGCAAGGAGGGATGGAGGGAAGGAGGCAAGGATGGAAGGAGGCAGAGAGGGAAGGAGGGAAGGTGTCTTCATACATGGTAGGATATCCTTGTATCGGTTCTTCTTGGCGTTGTCCTTTAGGGATCCAACCTCTGTGGTCAAACCGTGATCTTTCTTTAACTGGAGCGACTGAGAACGCACCACCTGGACACACACACACACACACACACACACAGCAGGTAGGTGAGGTGTGTAACCAGGTGTGTGAACTGATTTCTGAACATTTTCATTAAAGGTCTTTTTTGATCTTTGTTTTTTAATAATTGCTTCCCTTTATCATTTGCTTTTTGTTCTTTAAATCATGTTTTATTTTTGTCATTTTTACTCTGATTTGTAACAGAATTGATCATTGTTTAATTAACCAAGTACTTCAAACTGGTTTTCTTAACTGGGACTTAGTTTACTGGAAAGAGCATCACCAGTGAGATTTATAAACTCTGCTACATGTTGAGCTAGCAAAGACCAGTCAGGACCAATAAACACTGAGGGGTCCAGTAAGGGACTGGGACCATCTGGTCAGAAATGGGAGCAGAACTGCGAACAGAATTGGTTCCCCTCCTCTGTGACCGGTTAACGATGAACCGGCAGAAACCGAACGAGGAAGCAGAACTTCCTGTAGCTCAGAAACCAGAAGCAGAGACCCGGTTCAGGGAGTCAGAACCAGCAGGGACCAGTGGGGACCAAAGCTGGACTAAAAGGGACCAACCTGATCCAATCAGACCTCAACAGGCGCTCCGAGTCGCTCTACGCTGTGGAGTGGTTTTGGGTCACAGGAAGTAAAACCAGAACCTCTCTGATGAAGGTTTGACCGCCGTGTGCAGAACCACGGCTGGAGAAAGGCCAAGCCAGCATACCCTGACCCTTGACCTCTGGCTTCCAGGCACGGTGGAGGAGGGATGGTGCTGTGAGCCTGTTCTGCAGCCACAGGCTCTGGTTCCATGATTTGATTGGATGAATCATAAACTGCTGTGGGTTCTGTCTGCCCAGTCCAAACTGGTCCAATGTGGATCCAGTTTGGATTCAAACTGTCAGACAGTTTCTCTGGTTCAGACGTGAGAAGCAGAGGACCAGCAGAGCGACGCTGTGAGTGTTACAACCACGGCACTGTTAGCGGTTAGCTAGCTAACCTCTGAACAAACAAGGCGCTGCGGCAACAGGGGATGTGGTGAGACTGAGGACAGTCTAAAGATGAGACACGACAGAAACGTCTTCAGAGGACAGAAATGTCTGTTTACAAGTCGGTGGTTCAGACCTCAGATCTGCTGAATTCGACATGACTTCTCATCTACAGACTGCTAAAAGGGGACTTCCTGGAGGTCAGAGGTCATACTGCGAGCAGTCAGGAGGGTTTCTCTCTGCTGCCGGCTCTCCAGTCCCCAGAGGGTCTGAAGAGGAGTGGAGAGCTGGTGGAGGTGGTATCATGCTGTGGGGTGTTGAGCTGGAAGCAGCAGAGGAAGACGAAGCAGAGCTTCACCTGTCAGCTCCTCCTCTTCAGGTAGAGACACTCTGCTGACCTTTGACCCTTGGCTGGTTCCTGCTTGTGCTTCTGCTGGTAGTAGGAAGGTTGTTGGTTTGAATCCCAGTCAGGCCGTTCTCCCTGAGCCTGTCTTTCTCTCCAGGTGCTCCTCCAGCAGCATGCTGGTTGTACTGCGCCTCTCCCCTGACCTCTGACCCCCAGCAGGATGTACGCTGCAGACGATGAGTGCAGAGGTTTATCTACCCACTTCAGTAGATTTTAATTCAGCTTTAATCCACACCTTCCTGTAAATACCCAGAACAGTTCCTGGTGGAGCCCCAACCTGAACGACCAGGCAGTGAAACAGTGACATGTTTAGAAAGTGGCTGCATAGTTTAACCAAATGAAGCCGGCAGCAGCTTTCTGCTGGTTTGAATAACCGGCTCAGAGAAACGCTGAAACAGCGGCAGCTGTTTCCAGGGAAGTTTCCCTCTGAGGCGAGCAGGAAGAGATCAAACGTTTCCCAGGCGCTCCAGGCCCGGCGGTGCTGCCGTCGGGAGTTAAAACCGTTTTCCAGCGGCGACACTGACCTGGTACTCCTGCTCCACGGCGGCCGGGTCCACGGCCCTCAGGGCCGACAGCAGCAGGTCCATGGCCAGCTCCGGTCAGCAGCTCACTCTCACTCTGACTGCGTCTCAGTTCTGCCTCTGACTTTAACCGTCAGTTAATAATTCAGCTCCTCTCTCACCTCACAACCAGGAAGTGAGGAACCTGAATGAAACAAACCGCTCCGGACTGATTACCTCACTGGCTTTTATTGTGTCACTTCATCACAGGAGGCCGTCCTTCCTCAAACACACAGCTGCTCTCTCACTGTGGAGCTGCATTTTCACCTGCAGCTGGTCAGAACCGGGCCAGTTGCAGAACCAGAACCCTCCTTAACGACGCCAAACACTGGCAGACAGAAAACTACTGCAAACCTTTCAGAGGAGAAGAGAAAGAAGAAGCCAGACGGCAGAAACTACCATGAAGAAGAACTGAGAGGCCAGCGGCTGAAAACACAACAACTTAATAAAAACATGAGGAAAAGCACCAAAGATGTAAATTAATGTCACCATTTTAAGAAATCTGCAAGATATAATCAGCTAATTTATCCAATTTCAAATTTATCATGAATTTCTATAATTGATTCAGTGATGACTTTAGCTGAAATTTGTATGATCATTTAAATTTGTCATTACTTGTGCAAAGCCAAAATAGATAGAAAGTAAACATGTTACTTGTAGCAAACTGAATTTCTCATTGTTAGTGGGCGGGGCTAACACTGCTCAATGGTGATTGGTCGGCAGTTAGAGGATTTTATAGCTTTTATGGTGAACAGGAAATGTTCGCCATAAATCATTTGAAGATATCATTAGTACAATTTGTCATATAAAGACTGATATTTCAGTAATTAGTTACGACAGTAGTCACTGTGCCGTCTGTAAGCGGGTTGTCATGGTAACGCCGGCGGAGTGATCTATGTTGTCAGGTCCTGCTCCTCATGTGATGTGTTGGTTCTGAGCTAGCATTAAAAAGTAAGAGTTCTGAACACGTGTGTGGACATTCAGTTACTATACACAATTGACCTTGATAATTACATATTGTTGAGATTTAGAATCTCAATCGATGAATCATAATTTGTATTGACACACGGAGCATAAAATCAGCCAAGAAAAGCATTCAGACTTTACTTATTTTATTAACTTTCAGCGCTGAAAGGAGACACTTTACCATTACATCCGAGAAGAGTTTCTAAAAAAGTCTGTGCAGCGTCTGAGGAGAAAGAGGAGGGCAGCTGATTATATGGACGGAAGACACTCCCTGAAATCATACCATGCCTCTGTGGCCTGATAAGTTTCTGTTTCTCGTGAGAAATGGACCTTGGTGTCTAACAGAATCAAAAATGTAACTCTTTACTATGGGCCCTTTGTCTAACAGCGTGTGACTCTTTCTCGGCCTTGGTAAAGCATCTCAACACCTAATAGTAATCATAATGATTTAACTAATTTACTAATCTCAACAATATTTAATCACGTGATTGGGTGTTTGGCACAGTTATATAAATAGATACGTTTTTTTTATTCAAGCTATCGATGAATGGTTGCAAAAAGCGGCCAAAGTCTAAAGAAACCCCTTCAGGAGACGAGTCGATCCGGCTTTAGCGGACTACGGAAGCCTGGCAGTTGGAATGAGCTCAAAAACGTGGGCTCTGAGCTGCGTCGCAGTGTCAGAGTGAGATCTCTGTCTTCTCTCCCCATCTTCGCCGCTGCTAGCCTGCTAGCTAGCAGCTCTCCGGGAACATGGCGGCGTCGCAGGCTCTGTCCGAGGAGGAGTTCCACCGGATGCAGGTGAGAAGGAGCGGCTGGAGGCTCCTCGTTGGTCAGCAGGGTGACTGTCAGGTAGCAGACACACCTGAAGGGAGCGGCGGTCAGGCGGAGAGTCGCTGCCGGAGGACGTTAGCACTCCGTGCTAACCTTTAGCCGCTCATCTGGAGCGGGTAACGGAGCTAGCTGGTCGGGTCTGTGGGGCTGAAGATGCGGGGTTGGAGGGTTAAATGCTTTTATCTGGGCTGTGATGGCCGGAGGTCTCAGACTTAGCCGGGACACTTCTCTGATTTATGAACTCTATTAGTTGTCAGCTAGCTAGCCTCTGTGCTGCTAACCGTTATGTCTCTGTCAGCTGACAGTCACCGGGTCTGAGGGATGCAGCTGGCCGCGTTCAGGTCCAGCTGCCTCGGCCACAGTTGGAGCCAAGGGCCGCTGGTGTCAGCATGAACTGGACTGAGGAGATGATGGTGTTTAAAGACAAACAGTCATCAGAGTATTTAGTTCCAGGAAAAAGTGAGTCATTAGTCAGGTGATGGTGGATGACCCGACCAGGACATCCGGGTTCAGACGCAATTAGGAGCAAGGTTCACTTTCTTCATCAGCCCTCACTTGTTGGACGTTTCAGGAAAAGAAAAGTCAGTGGAAGGTAGACAGACAGAAGAGCTGAAAGTGATGCGTTCAGGTACCTGCGATCAGCGGGTCAGTCCAGGTTAGAGGTGTGAGGAAAGCCCGATCTAGAGACGGCGGAGGATTTTAGGGAGAAATGGAGATAAGTGATCCAACATGGAGGTCCCTGAATGGAGCAGAAGAAGATGGAATATTTAATGTGCTCAGATGGGTGATTGTAGGTTTCTTAGCAAACATTTTAGTTTCTGGATGAAAATAAATGCAGTTTGAAAGAACTGCAGAAGCTCTCCAGAGGTCCTGGTGAACAAGGTTCTCAGGTCTGAATCTCTGGGATAGTTAAAGTCTTTAACATCTAAACAGTTAGTGCAGCACATCATTTAATATTTCAGCAAAATCTACTACATGCAGATATAGGAATCTAACCTGGCACAGATGTTCCCAGGGACTTGGTGTTAAGAAAAGGCCAAACCTTTTGTCACTGGAAGATTAAAGATGTCTGCTATAGTTTTCAAGGAAAATTTATTTCTGCATTACATCTCCAATATTGGTCACAGATGAATAATTTTTGTGTCAAATCATACATAATTGGGTTCATAGAAGTTAAATTTACTGATAATCTTTTAGAAAATTCAAGATGGCAGTCATGGAAAATTAACTTTAGGACTAAAATTGCCAATTAAATGAATGAGTTGCTGTCAGTCACAGCCTACAGAACTTGAATTAAATTCTATAGGCTGTTTTCTTTCTTGAAAAAGTAAACATATATATATATATATATATATATATATATATATATATATATATATATNAGGCAGGTAATCGAGGTACTCGAATCATTCAAGGAATCGTTTCAGCCCTAAATAAAAGTGAGGAAAACATTGCAGAAGTTGATGTTTCTTTGCGAAGGTAGTAGCATCGTGCGTTGCTTGCTAAGCCTTCCAGTCCCGGGGGCATGGAAACGTTTCCTCCATCTTTAATCAGCTTCTTCCTCCTTCCAGAACCCTGCCGCCATCCCATCACTATGACAATGACTGCAGTGCAGCGTCTGCAGCTCCCATCTACAGCACCGTGAAGCCCAAGGTCAAGCCGCTGACCTCGCCCCCCTCAGCCTCGCCCATTTACGACATTGCTGCCCCGACCAATCAGAGGGAGGACCCTCACCTGGTGCCAGGTCGGTCCCTGCCGCAGCGGCCAGGTGTCTCCAGGGGCGGGGCTGAAGGCGTGACCATGTGACTTTTGTTTCCTAGCAGAAGCAGATCACGACTATGAAGACATTTCTTCTCCTGCCTCAGATGTCAGCAGCTTCTTCACACCTGGAGGCATCGGTCAGTTCACCTGGGGCAGATCGGCTCTGTGGCTCACCTGCTGCTCAGCGCACACGGACAAACTTTACACACAGATTCTTGAGCTTTCAGATTCTCTCTGCTTGGCTGCAGTTGCCACTAAGCGTGTTAATCAGCACCTTGTGCTTCTCAGTGACATTGTTGTCGTTAAGCAGATGTTTGTTGCCATGGTTTCTCTGTTTTTCTCTTTCTGCAGGTGTAGAAGCAGACCAGGGTGTTATCTTCTGTCCTCTCCTCTTTTCTCCACCTCCCTCCTTTCTTCACTGTCTCCGTCACATTAGAGATGATTTCTCATTAAGTTATTTATATGTATATGTATATAAACTGAATTAGGGACCGGGTTTATTTCGTAGATAATTCTTTTAGTCTGTGCCTCGCGTCGTACAGTCAGGAGAAATACATGAAATGTTTTCATCTTCAGGAATTAGACGGCGCCTTTGGGTTTCTAGTAAACGTAGTGTGTTTTGTTCTGGTTTCTGTCAGGTTTTAACTGTCGCATCCAGAAGCCGAAAGGACCCAGAGATCCTCCAGCAGCCTGGGGGCGGATGGAGAGGTGAAGTGGTTGAACTGGACCAGTTACCCATCTGGAATCACTCCAAACAGCCGTAGTGGTCACCATTTACCCGACCGACATCACTGTGATTTGTTCAGTTACTGTAATCTCCTCAACACTCTGATACATCTTTGTTTTAAAATTAACCAAAGTGCTTCAATTTTTTTCCTTAATTTAACTGAAATTAAGTCAAGTTTAACTAAACCTCCTAAAATTTGAATTTTATCTAATTTGTCTTGATTATCTGCAGATTTTGTACCCAAGAGTTTTTGGGTCATAATTCACAAACTTTTCCGATGTGGTTTCAGCTTCAATAAAAACAGTAACAGCATCTGTGGTGTTTTCTTCTATAGATCTGTGTCAGATCAGACAGCTTGTCCTGTGGTTGCTCATTCTATACTGAGGCGCTGTGCTAAGGGCGCTACGCTATCTCCTGCCTTCTCAAGATGGCCAAGCCTCCAAACCTACAAAAACATTACATTTATTACAGCATTATCACTAACGGAGGCAGGGGGCAGCTGACGCACTGCAACAGACAAGAAGAGATGTAGCGATAACAGCGCTGATGCTAAGCTAGTGCTAGGCTAACCAAGCTAACTAGCTTTTATAGGCTGAAAAAAAAAACTGTGTGAAACACGAAGCTTTACCAGCCAAATGTAGCAACAAACATATCTGTTAAAATATTGACTATATTAACTCAAGGAAGACTCAAATAGCTCTACAAAGTACAAGAACAGGAAGTGATGCAATAACTTACCCAATCACAGCCATCAGCTGTGGTTGTTTCCTTCCTGAGTTTATCAGCCAACTGAAAAATTACTGTCATTTCGTATAACCTGCTGCTGTACTGAAGGGAAAATGGTCCAGTTTTATCTGCTGCATCACTTTGAATACCTTCACTGTGGGCATCAAAACCACAATCAGTTCAATCTAAATGTAAGAAAATATAAACTTTAGAAAATTATGTGTTGTTAAATTCTACATGTTAATTGGATCATTTCAAACATGCTAAAAGTAAAATGTATGGTGAGAAAATGTGATGGCAGAATCACTTTTGGCTCAGCGGTCAACCTGACAGTTTGGCTTGGTGTTGTTCCTCCTGTGTTTGAAGGACACACCCTTTATTTTTACACCAGTGTGTTTAGACAGGTCATGTGATGTGACACAATAATGCAATAAGAAAACAAACAACAAATGAGAGCACAAAAACATAATGTCAAGGGCGTAGATCCCATCTCATTATTGGGGGGACCATAAACAGGAACATTTCTTAAGACCAATTTTGGGGGGGTCGGCAGAGTTACAGTGAAATGTAACGTAAAATGTGGTTTAAAATGTTTTTA